ACTCTTAACTTTTATAAAGAATATCTCTTTGGATTTGAGACTTTAGTCTTTGCAACTTTACAGATCTTCTTTATGCACCAAGAGCTTGTAACACTCCAAAGAGAAAGGAAAAATTGAAATCGAATCATATGACCCCTTTAACTGAAATCTTCGCCACAGTCAGTAAATCACTGTTTAACTCTTTTACAACTCTGGGGAGGAGCACACATAAACTGGTGATGTAATGGCTGTGAACAGCTACAAGCTGAAGTGACACGATCCAAAATAATGATCCAAATATTAACCAACATTACTGGTTCCCCCACACTCAAATCTACACATTTTGAAATCAAGAGCCCTTTCTGTGAAAATCGCTGTGTTGAATGAGTCAGAGTCTAATGAAGCCCTTGGTTTCAAACATGTCTTGTCCTGATTTGCAACAAACAGCCAGAAACCAGGTGCCTTCCAAAAAATAAAAAAATTTACAATTCTCAGAAAAAAAGGATGACTGCCAGGATGAAGCAGAGAAGAAATCATTTACGCCCACAATGCCTGTTGTAAGATGCTTATTACTTCAAACAAAAAAAAAGAGAAATAACCCTTTCTTACATCTGAAACTCACAGCAACCTCTTGTTGCTCCACATCATCGTTCCTCCGGGAAGAACGGCACCATCATTTCACCATCTGCCATTTGCCTACTCATCTGTTTTACCTTCCACAGCCTTTAATTACATAAAAACTATGACAGCGCATACACGAATCTCACGTGGATTCCAAAAATGTGTGATTCTCTAAGCGAAGTGCTGCCAGGATCCTCAGCAGAAAGTAAGAAGCAATTTCAAGACCATCATCGCAGCAAATAAATCCATGACACAAGGCTCCAAACTGTAAACAAACGCCTTGTCACTATGGAGACACGCTGATCAAACATGTTTTTTTTTTCCATACCTGCTGTTCTCCCTGTGCTCTGCGAGCATCCCTTGTTGTTACCCGACGCAATTTCGGTCCAAAGATTGCTGAGAAAAGAATCGTTGGTAATCCGTGCCTTGCCGACTAGGAAAAAGAGAGAAGGCAGAGCATTTATAGGACGCTGTGGGAGCGAGCGCCGATTTATGCTCTTCGCTGGCACTGCCAGGAGACCTGTGCACCAGAGAGCCAAGCAGCCTGCAGGGACTGGCACAGCTGATCCTCCCTGTCACCAGCTCTACCACGTTGCTTTATCATGCGGGGGTGACCAGTGTCATACCAGGAGATACCAAATCGGCAGTACAGGGGATCCGTCGATAACATTTAAAGAGCAGATGGCGATTATGAAAGGATCACACTGTAAAAAAAAAATTTTAAAAATCGATCACCAGATCAGGGTTATAACTCTCTCTAGTCCACATAGGAGAGAGCTCTGGATATCTTGAAAAGGGGAAGTCAGTCATCTGATTCGGAGGATATACACACTGTGTACTGAAGACTGAAATAACACATACAGACTATCCAACATCTACAATCCAGTACAAACACGAGACACCGCCGTAGATTCAAATCGAGGCTATTTTCAAATAGATAAAACAATAATACCACAAACAGAGAAAATCTGATTGCACCAAAGCACTGAGTAACAGTCTAAAGAAATAAAGATCAAAACCAGCTCATGATGTCTTCAATTAAGAGAATCTTTCCTCAAAAAGCACAGTTGTTGCTTGACCAGGTGACTCGTTTTCACTGGCACTGATTCATGAGAGAAAATACTTAGGCTACATTCTTTGCATATAATGTGAGTCAAGTTTCCAACAACGTCATTTAGGCAACACTAGCTTGCCTAGTCTTTATTGTGTAAAATATCACACGTGTAATGTGTGACCTATGCTGTGTGCTGATTCACCGCTCATTCCACACGGAGCACATGACAAAAAAACACTTCCCACAATGTTTTAGTATGCACATACAGAAATGTAAAGTAGTGAATAGATTCCAGTGTACTACTATAAAAAATAGCTTATTAAATATTAATAAATTCACATTTGCAAATTCAAAACATTCACATAAACATTCCACGTTTGGTCTAAAACTCATTTGTCATCCTCTTTTGCTGCAGGACAGCAATTGCTAGTGTATATTCTGTCATATTTGCAGAAATGTCATATGAAGATTGTACAGAAAGTAACATTTGTCCTTCGTAATATTATTCAAGTGAATAGCAGGCACTGTACAATATACATTACATGACTAAACATTATTATACCATACAACATTACATGACTAAACATGTGTCAACTTTTTCAAATGCCTCCATTAACTACAACATGAAAACTGTGTTTTCAATTTTATTTTATTTATATATTTATTCATTTTTGACAAAAACACTGTAGTGTGGGCAAAAGGCCTAAATGTATTGAAAAACATGTGTTTTCAATTTTATTTGGATCAATGTGGACACAGCCTAAATGGTTCTTTGTGTTTTGAGACCCATGATCATACTAACAGCATTGTAACTGTTGTATCAAATGTGTTTTATACCTGAAAACAACTGCACAGAAACTGCACATGAGGTTACTCAAGTTGAATAAAAATTCCAGAGCTTAGCCAAACGTCCTGTAGCACTGAGTATGTGGTGCGTAAATTTCCCTCTCCACTTCCTGTAAAGTGATATATCGGTGTACACTTGCTTCCTATGCCAAACTGAACATTATTGCTCACTGCTAATCTGACTTAAGATGGTCAAATACCCTGTGAAGTCCACTGCACGAGACAATATCAAGCAATACACCCTCATAATTTCACATACACTTCAGCAGCCACATTTTCTACATACTTCCTAAATGATCTAGGCTAAGTTTTAAATATAAAAAGAACAGAACTGTGACACACATAAAGAAGAAGAAAAAAAAATCACAGGTTTGCAAAAGAGCTTGACCGACAACAAATATAAGTCAAACAATATTTAATAGGAAAGATAACATTAAAAACAGGATTATAGCGTCTAAACAGGTGCAATTTAGGTCATGTGTGACTGATATGGCCGCAAGCCAATATTATGATGGCTCTGGGATAAAAGCACAGGTTCAGTGACTTGCACAATACAAACGGATGGGTTGTTTATACAATAAAACCACAATCACAGCCCATCTCTAATCTTATTCACAGCTCTGCATACCCTCACCAAAACACACAACACAAATTAAATGGCATATAAATTAGCACCCTGGAGGTGTCAAGGCCACACACCGCTGTTCATGAGTCCATGACCTCTCACCTGACGCAGCTGCCCAGCACTTCACCATCACACTGTGTCCCAATAAATCACCACGGCCTTCATATCACAACTTATGACATTATTGGAATTAGTTGCAGCCTTAATGAGTGTCCATGTCTAATGTTATTCACTGTACGTCTAGTCATAGATAGATAGATGGATAAATAGACAGAGAAACAGAAAGAAATAATATTCATACTTTCAGTAATATCCTATTGATTACGGTTACACTTCAATGAAACGTCTGCCTTGTGACAAACAAACAAGCAATTGATCCAGTGTGAGAAATTTGTGTAAATTAGCAGCCAGACAGTCAACACTGTACAGTAGTTTTTCACATATAATAAACAAAGAAAGGTAAGAAACCTACGTTATACACAATATACGCAATTTACAAAATACAAAATCCATAAATTAGAATATAAGTAATGACCATGTAAAATAAGTACAGGAAAATGGAAATGACACAAGCGAGGAGTTCAGTAACATAAAACAGGTTATTCAGAATTATATTGTTATGTTATATTATATTATGTTATATTATAATATATATAGTATATTATGTTGGGATTCTTGTAAACTGACAGGAACCACAAATAAATTCAGTAACTTACAGTCGTAGATGAGTCGATATCTTCAGTGACAGTGCGAGCTTTCAAGACAATTACAGCTCACCAGACATCGCCTAAATAACCTCGAAATAAGTAATAATATTCACGCATATGATTAACTCGAGGTCAATAATAATAAAGGATCGTATTTGTGAATTGTCTCCACATGAATGATTATTCGCCTGCAGCTAACAGGCTAGCGGAGTCCTCCTATCCTAGCCACAGCTAGCACCGGCTACACACAACCGATATTTGCCGAACTGCTGCGTTTCATTTTCACAAAGCTGGACTGCATAGAATATCATTTATATAATGCGAATAACATCCTGACATTTCTAGAAAGATGTAAAAACGGGTAAAGGGAGCTGTATTTTGAAGGAGGGAAGCTAGCGCCAGTGGGCAGTGTGTATGCGTTTTGCGTGTATGTCTCCAGTGTATCCGCATATCCATGAGAACTCACCAGACCAGCCGATGTCTTCAAGCTTCACTGAGAGCCGCTCTAAAGAGATCCTCTTGCGCTCTTCCCATCCATATTTCACGGGTGATGCCAGTGCTTTCTGAAGCGGATACTGGTTCTGTTAGATCAGCTAGCTAGTGGCCATATTTAATCCTCGACATCCCAAACAACACAGGCTCGAGCTCGTCCCAGCTCCAGCTCCACTTCATCTCAGCGGTGTGGGAGACGCTGCCTCACAGGGCTCGCTGTAGCGCTTGGATTACACGGGAAACAGCGACACCTGCTGGTCATTACGATGCAGTTGCCCGTTTCATTTGGAGGATCGTTTTTGTCTCTGGTTAGCAAGGTAATAATAATCGAAAGTCAATCTGGCAGTATTTATAGTTTGAGTGTTTTGAGTGTTTAATGTACTTGACTGCCACAGCAGTGAAAGAAGAAAGGAATGCCAATTTTACATGATGCTGATGTGGATGTTAGCTACAGTTTCAGTACAATGAATATATATATATAAATGCATTGACTTATGCATGTATATTTAATACGTTTCTCAATAATAGATCATACCTGTGCTTTGTGTGCTATAATTTTGTCAATTTTAACCACGGGAAACAGCGACACCTGCTGGTCATAATGATGCAGGTGCACGTTTCGTTTTTTGCCTCTGGTCAGCAAGCAAGGTAATAATAATCAAAAGTCAGTCTGGCGGTATTTATAGTATGTGTTTAATGTACTTGACTGCCACAGCAGTAAAAGAAGAAAGGAATGTCAATTTTACATGATGCTGATGTGGATGTTACAGTTCCAGTGCAATCAATATATAAATGTATTGAATTATTATACATGTATGCATATTTAATATGTTTCCCGATTATCATAGATCATATACCTGTGCTCTGTGTGCTACAATTTTGTCCAGTTAACTGAATTATACTCCTAAGATAAATGTTTTAAGCGTATGCCCCCACATAAAGGAGCAGTTTACTTATGAGGTGAATATTCAAAGGTTCAGTCTCAGCACCCAAATATGAACATTATTGTGTTCTTGGTAGCAACATTTTATTCTAATAAAGACAAAAGCAGCCATAAATCAATAATATTTCTATAGCATGCACAGCTGAAGCTTATGTTATTTAATATGGTATCAACTGTGAATATGTAACAAACAAATAATTAAGTAATTAGGACACAAAAAGAAACAATTATGTATTATTTAAATAAATATATTAAGGAAACATTTACACAAGTTATAAAAATGCAAAGTAAGAATTTCTCCATCCATATTACATTTCAAACACAAAAATATGTTGTAGTATATTTATATTTATTTATTCTGTCTTAGTTAGAACAATCTCTTCTTTTTTTTTTACATTTAATTAAACATTAACAGAGTTTATTAACAGATAACAAGCACAGAGATTGTTTTCTTTCATCTTTCCATCTTATATAACGGGCTATTGAACACATTTTAGATTGAAAATTAAACATTTCAGAAGAAATCGTTAGAACTTGAATGTAAACTTACAGTAAATACATAAATAACATATAATGAGTGACTGGCATAATGGAAAATGATATTAGTAATGAATTGAATGAAAATTATTAATCAGCATAACCTTGAAATTTACTGTACTCCTGTTTAATACAGCCATAAACTGTATGGTAAAAGTGCCTGTCTGGAGCCATAAGGTCAGTGACCATCTCTGTGTGGTTCATTTTAGGTATTAGATCGAGAGACATCCTGATAGAAAGGGCTGTGAGGAGCTCAGAGAACTTCACTGATGATTCCACCGGAACTATGTCATTGGTTCCATGGAGCAAAGCCACTGGAGGAACTCTGTATGAAAACCATAGCAAATGATAAAGCACAAAGAGCTTCTTTTAACAGCCTCACTGTATTCTGTATCTCTCTGTACTCCACTAGTGACCTTTACTTGGTAAACTGCATTTGTAATTGAACAAGTTGGCCAGTAATGGCACTACAGTAGCAAACAGATGAAAATATTGACCTTATATAACATTAACATCTTATTTAAAGAATTTACTAGAATGAAACAAATCATACAAGTTAATGTGTTGCTGCTTCAGCTGTTGGACACTGACAATATGTGAATAAAAATAACAATAACAATACCGTTTCAACTGATCCTCATTCAATTTCTTGAGTAATGATGTTGGTGAATAATAATCAAAGTTCTCCACAGCATCCATAGCTTTGTGCATAGTTGATACATATTCAACGGCCCGCATTTTCTCATGCTTATAATGATCCATTACACTGTAAACGCCACTCAAACCTATTACAAAAAAAATAATAATAATCACAACATGAATGAAAACCAAGTTACTAAATCAAGTTTTTACTAAGAAACAGCTACATCAACAGGGAAACCGCAATGCTAAATTATAAACAATCATTGTATAATAGCCACATATAATAAACATGGCACATTGATTTACCTATGATTCCTTTAATGGCAGATACAAGATCTCTCTGTATGTTGGTCTCAATGAACAGCTCTTCTGCATTGTTCACCAGAAACAGTGTGGAAAGGGCACACAGATGAGCCCCTGCTGAATGACCTATTAATATTATGTTGTCCTGCATGAAAAAAAGTGTAGCCTAGATCAAATTGTTTTATCACTTACAAAATAACACGTGGAAAATAAAAACTACCGTTCAAAAGTCTGGGGGCAGAAATTTTTTTTTTGTAAGTTTTTGAAAGAAGTCTCTTATGCTCTTTTATGCTCACAAAAACATGCTATTCTAAAATGCTGATTTGGGGCTCAAGAAACTTTTCTTATTATGATCAGTTGAAAATGGTTGCTACTGAAATACAGTAGTTATAGAGAGAAAGAGAACATCATATAAGAGCAGCATTTATCTAAAAATATATATATATTTTTTTTTTAACAACACTGTGACATTTTTCCATCAATTTAATGCATTCTTGCTGAATAGAAGTACTCATTTCTTTCAGAAAAAAATCTTATTGACCCCAAACATTTGAATGGTAGTGTATAGTACAAGCACTTGTCAAACTAAAGTGGCATTTGTAATGCAATATTAACAACTTATAGTTTACATTCATGGAGGACTGGAAACTTACTTGATCAAGGTTGAATGTTTGTCCCTTTTCTCTCACCCACAGCAAACTGTCACTGATGTCTTGAACCATATTTAAAACATTTCCCTAAAAACACAACAAACAATTTGAAAAAAGAAAAAAGAAATCCACACAAAAAATATCAATATTAAATATATAATGTATAATATAATGGTGGCTTACCTTTGGATATATGGAATAATCTGGACAAATTACAGAGGCATTAAGCTCTTTTGCTATTTGTAAGGCTAACAGACAGTAAATGGAGCGGTCTCCTGATCCCCAGGCACCTCCATACACAAACACAACCACCGGTACAGGAGCAGTATCAGAATGGCCCATGCTTGGTGAATAATATAAATCTAGTTTGTTCCCTCGTCGACCAAAGGTTATGCCCTAAGAAAGGACAGAAGCACAATCAAATACTGTAGTATAATAAAAAGGGACAAGTGCTTTTTCATTTTAATGCTACAATACATTTTAGTAATACAAAGAATTATTATTGTCCTAAATTGAACAGTAGCTTTGTTTCTTAAAAACTCTATCTCTGTACTGCATAGCACACAGTGTGCACCCTGTGGCTAAGTAAACCACATTAACAGGAATTTAAAAACTGAACTAACTTTCACATAGTGCTTGTTGTTTTTGTCATTACTGTACCACAGTTTCCACTGAAAGTACAGTTTGCCATACTGCAGATATTTCAGCATCTCTAGCACGGCTCTTGCAAGGCAGTATATGTGCCTGCAGGGAGTGCAAGAAACATCTGCATCATTAAAAAGCCAACTTTAAAAGTAGAGTAACGTCAAAATGTTAATGCTATGCTATGTCACCTTGGTTTGAGAGCCTCTATATACTTTTGGTACCCTGGTTTATTGGGCCAGCCATAGAGCCATTGGGCAACTAGAGAGATACTGTAAGGAAGGACCACTAATAATGCCCCTGCCACCACCGGAAGAGAGAAATAGCACTTCAACGCTATCCTGAAACAGAAAAAAAGAAACAAAACAAAAAGATCTGGGGATTGGTATTATAGTAGGGTGTAATATTACAATCTTCTATGTTGTATGACATTATTTTAAAACGATACTAACATGATATTTTTTATGCCAGCTAAAAACAGCAATACTGTCAAATATTATTACAATTTAAAACAACTGTTTTTTTCTGAATTTTCAGCAGCAATTATTCCAGTCTTCAGTGTGACGTGATGCTTTAGAAACCATTATTTTTTTGTGGAAACCTCAATACATTTTTAGGATTCTTTTAAGAATAAAAAGGTGACAAGAACTTGCAGATTAAAAGTATTAATTTCTTAAAGATAAACATTATTGATCCCAAACACCATTTATGATTCATGTATGCTGACATTATTTAACATAATACTTACATTATTTTTAAGCTGTTTTTTTTAGTTCTAATACTTGGAGTAGCAAGAGAACAGAAATTTTAACATGTACAAACATATAATGTATGCATAGAATCAGATAAGAGAATGACTGTACTGTACAGTGCTCTGTTCTCTCTGATACACCGGAAACATTAATCACGTTTTAAATATACATAAAGGCATTTCATGAGTTACTGATATCGAAGAGAACCACAACAATGTGCATAATGTAAAGTCTCTAACAACTTAGCTCTTGTTAGATGCACAGTATACAGCAAGACTTTCCCATTAAAATTTTCCTCAAAACGTAAAAAAGATTCGTAAAGACGCAAGCAGGGCAAAATAAAGTGGACATCGCATCTGTTACATAATGATTGCATAATGATTGCATTTTGGATTTAGCAACATACTAAAGGATAGTTAAACAAACAGAAGTGATGTTCTGTACTGAAAACAGAACATCAGTGGTGCAAAGACTGCATTGTGTCAGAGCGGATCACCTGCAGATGACATACCAGACAGTGTCCCGTATGCCCAGATGGATGCATTCAGTGCATCAACTTCCTGACTACTTCTACTAGCATGCGCAGACGTCAGCCAAACGGTGTTTCTTATTGGCTCGTTGGCTCACTTGGGCGGGATAAATTTGCATGTCAACTCAAACACACATGTCGTTTAGATAAACGTCCCCATTTATCTAAAAATTAGGATATATAAAATGGATTGTATTAGTGTATTTTAACGTTTACTAGTATTAAAGGTTGTTCTCTTATTACAATTATTTACCTCAGAACATAACAAACCGTTCTAGCGGCGATAAGTGTTTCATTGGTTTCAGTGCTTGTCATTTAAAATAATTTTCCTGCTGATGTCCAATCAACACACGTATAGTATAATTATTCATTTACTAGATTGTTTCATCCTTATTTGCAATTTTATGATATTATTCAACATATCATTCTACCATAATAAACCAACGTGAACTTTTCACTCTGCCTCATTGCCTTCATAATTATAATATTTTTGCTATTTTTCAAATGCATAATGTGTAGATTTTATGTAGTCCTTGTTGTTAATCTAAAACTACGAAAGTTATTTATAAAAATGCGAATTAGTACGTTTTCAATTACATTAAAATTGTATTACAAGTCAAGTTGTATAAAAAATCACACACACACACACACACACACACACACACTTCCAGTCAAGCTGTAATGATATATGAAGTTCACATAATAAGATAATAATATTCCCCTATAGAAACCCATGCGTTGTATTTTATGCATATGATTTTATCCTAAAGTTAATGTAATTTTCCAAGTACAACATACGGTCTGTTTTACACGTGAACCTATGCTGTTTGTCGGGGTGAGGGGTAAAATATCTGAGGCTAGCGAAAGTTTGAGGAGGCGGAGTTTCTCCTCTAGTTCTCTCCGCTTGCTGCTCGAACAACACACAAGTTTGTGGTAGTGATGGGAAGTTCGGTTCTTTTCCGCGAACCGGTTCTTTCGGACAGTTCGATTCAATAAACCGGTTGAAAAAACAGGTTCACCGGTTCTTTTACGCTCGACGTAATGACGTCATTGGCGATGACGTAATGGCGTCAAGTCTATCGCGGGCTTAACACATTCAAATATAAAGTCAGTAATCATAACATCAGTCAATTACTTGAGGAGGCGGAGTTTCTCCTCTAGTTCTCTCCGCTTGCTGCTCGAACAACACACAAGTTTGTGGAAAGATTTTAAAGTGAGGAGTTGAACGAGCCGCCATGAATTTGGTGACACAATGAATTTAAAACACACTGTTTCTTTATTTCAAGCCGAATGATCACATTGCTTTAATGTTAAAATGAGGACGACCCTTTTAAACGGACTACTCTTGCTTTTTGTCGGACTCGCACAAGGGGGTAAGTTGTTCATACTGCTCAAGTATGGCTGATGTAAAGCATGTAAAGAAGGACATTTGTGTGTGTAACATTTAAGTTGGGGGATTCAGCAAAAGCATTTGGACGATTTGAGTTTCACCAAACATCACGTTTCTATGTGGTTTTGTGCACTAGAGAACAGTATAGACAGCCTAACTGTTTCTTATGGCTGCTATCTCTGTAACGAAAATATAAGTTCTTGTCATTTTAGCGGTTTGTGCATTAGCTGACGTTAATACAAACAAATGTACATGTTTAAAGTTGGATTTTCAATATCCAAATCATGTTCATTGCCAGTGTTGCATGTGTCCCCCAAATAAAAAAATAAAAAATAAAAAATTCCAAAAATGATGTGACATTAGTTTATTGTGTACATAATATAACATTCATGATTGCACAGATTTGTGGCTCTCAGAGATTTCATATTCACTGCTTGCCAAATGTCAGGGCACAGAAAGCAGCCTTTTAGTTATTAATAACAATGAAATGCAGTAATTCACCAACATTAAAGCATGCACTATGAAATTTTGTTAGCCAGCATGTTTATTCAAGTGGTAATGTTTAAAAAAAAAAAACTTGCAAAACAGGAGAAATTCATAGAACTATCCAGCATTATTTAAAGAGTTAAATGTTTTATCAGCAAATCCCTGTAATTACATGAATATTTGAATATTAGTGTAATATTAGTGTAATGTGCTAAATTATGTTTTATTGTTGTATCAGTTGCAGTTGTTCAGTGTTGAGCTTCACAATAGCGACTCCACTGAATTATCAAGATGTCAGACATGGTCTTATTTTGGAGCGCAGTGTCCAGACTTATAAAATCTCCAGGATGTCAGATGTAGGACCTCTTTGTGTGATAAAAGAAACTAAAGATAGCATGGCATTCTTGTTTTCTCCTCTCTTACTGTCATTTCAGGTTTGACCACAAAGTTTGACATCAAAACATAATTTATATTTGTTGCAAATCAGTTGTACTTTTGATAAAATGCTTGGTTTTGATATGGCCCCTTTGCCTTTTGTTAGACCAGTATGGGGACGTATGATACATAATTATTCATTGTTGCATTACTTGCATATTAAAGTTTAATGTAATCCCATAGTCCACAATTGTGTTTCCACAATTTTATAAGGCTACTTGTGTCAGCTATGCAAAGTTCAGTGAATCACATTGCTTCACTGAAATTTGCATGGTGCCTTAAGCATTGTAAACAAAGGATTTAAAAACGAATAAATATTCATTAAAACATAAAATTTTATTTATGCAGTTTGTATCACGAATAAGTAATGACACTTGCATAGTTTGACAGAATTACACTAAACATCAGTGTGTCATTTCAGTCCTAAAGTAGAAGTGTTCTGCGCCCATACAAATTAAGGGGTGTAAATACTATAGTGACACTTGTAGAGAGAGGTAGATGAGAGTGTAGAACACATTAGTGTAGATTAAAGGGTGATGTGCTGTGGCTGGGTTAGAAAACAGCTGCGTCCAGGCCTCCATCAATGGACAGCAGGGCTAAGACAATGTGGCTATGTCAGAGTCTTTTATGTTGAGAACAGGGTGCTGTCAGGGCAGAGCATGCCAGCACATGTACATGGGTATCACAGTGCTTCCCTGGCGCCATCCGGCTTGTCCTGTAAAGTGTTGTTGTTTTTATTCATTCGGTCACTTTTATTTAATGTCTGTGTCAAAATCAAAATGTAACTTTTAAGGGTAAGTTAACACAGAAATGATAAAATTGTCATCAGTTACTCACCCTCATGTTATTACAAACCTGTACTTTCTTTACACAAAATAAGATATTCTGAAGAGCATTTAAATGTTTTTTGTCCATACAATGAAAGTCAATGTGGTCCACAACAATGCTGGACCCCGTTAACCCAAAAAAAAAAAAATAAAAAATTCTATGTGTTTCACAGAAAAAAGAAAACCATGCTGGTTTGGAATAATCCCTTTGAATAATAATAATGTCCTTTCTCATAAATCAATTAATTTATTACCAGTTAAAATGTGTAATTAAAACATTATATACTTAACCAGTGTTGGGAGTAACGCATTACAAAAGTAATAATATTACAGTAGTATATTACTTTTTGCTGTAACGCAGTAATATAACGCATTACTAATCAAATTTGGGTAATATTATTACTCGTTACAATCTCAGTAACGCAAGTTACAACAACGTATTTTAACTCAAAATTAAGTGGGTGAAAGTAACTGAAAAGTAACTCAAAAGTAGTGTAACGCATTACAATTCAGAGACAGTAATATTGTAATGTAACTAATTACTTTCAAAAGACAGTAACTAGTAATATACAATGTATTACATTTTGGAAGTAACTTGCCCAACACTGTACTTAACAAACCGTTTAATTCACAAAAATTCATTAACAAAAGGCAAAGAAATGAATGAGCATTCAGGAAAAAAAACAAAAAACAAACAAGCATCATGGGTGATATTCTCTTATGTGCAGCTTCATTCTATGGTGATGGATTTGTGCAGTTAAAAGGGACAGAGACGTCTAGCCGTAACA